CGTGAGAAAAAGTGACCTTGAATAGATTTGTTATCTATCTTAAGTCAAATTGTATTAACAACAGCTTCCTTTGCTTACGTAGTAAACATGTAAGATCAAATTATCGTCACTTTTTTTGCTTTTTCTTATCAAGAAATTAGAAAGTGAAATAAAATTAATAACGATAAAGCTTTAGGGCAGCGCCTGTGGCTCAGTGGGTAGGGTGCTGGCCCCATATACCAAAGGTGGCAAGTTCAAACCTGGCCCCGGACAAACTGCAACAACAAAAATAGGCGGGTGTTGTGGTGGCGCCTGTAGTTCCAGCTACTTAGAAGGCTGAGGCAAGAGAATCGCCGAAGCTCAGGAGCTGGAGGTTGCTGTGAGCTGTGATGCCACAGCACTCTGCCTAGGGCGATAAAGTGACACTCTGTCTCAAAAAAAGAATAAAGCGTTATTTAGGTTCTAATACTAAATAAGGGGAATTGTTGTTTATTTATTATACCCATTTGTAATGGATACTGTAAGTCACCACAGTAACACTTACTGCCCTAATGCTAATGTGTGCCTGCAATTCCATAGCAATTTAGTAACATTATAAATAGTATAGTAACTATACTATAGTAACTATATAGTTACTAAACTATAAATAGTTTAGTAACATTTATAGATACATATTTATATACACAAATTTATTATTTATTAATTATTCTGAGGTACTTTATATATGTCTATATTAATTTGGTAACATAATCAGGGCTGTCATTTTGAAACATTCCAGATTACACTGTTTAATCTGTTGACTAAGCTAACGGTGCATTTTGGAGTTGTGCAGAAGGGATGTGATGGATGTGATAGTAAGTAATTCTTGTTTTTATTTTGTTTGTGTTTTGTTAGGTTTTTTTGACAAAAATTTGTTGATGCACCCTTCAGGTCTCCTCTTCCCTCTCGAAAAAAAAAAAAAAAAAAAAAAAAGGCAACATGCAAATCATTCCCCAGGACTGGGAATTTCCAAGTCTGAAAGCAGTGCTCCGTGGCTGCCTGCATTTCACCTCCCTAGCTATCTTACTTTGGATTCTCAGAATTCTCTATGAAATGTCTCTCTGAAGTACAGATGAACTCTTTGTCACCTCATACATTGACATTCTCACATTTCCTGACCTCTTTGCAAGACTTGACAGCATTGGGCATTTTTCTCTCTTTAGTTATAATTGCCCTGGGTTTTTTCTGTCTTCATTCTGTCCTGAAATAATGTCTCCTTCACTTATTCCTCCTTCTCCTTCTCTTTCGCCTTAGATTCATAATGGTCATTCGTTCTCCCTGCTTCCCTTGAAGGTCTTCTCCACCCACGTGGTTACAGAACATTGCTAGGTAGAGGAATCTAAAATCTATTCCTCCTACCTCCATCTTTCTCCTGAAGTTTACACCCCATTCCAACCACTTTCTGAAAACCTACACAGAGTGAGTGTTTCTGTCTTTTCTGACCTGAGAATCATTGGCTCAGTGGAGAAGAAGGTATGTTGAATGCAGTGACACATTGCCTCTGTTGAAGGGGAAGGTGCTATTTTAAAATCCAGTGGAAAGAAGAACTGAGAAATGACACACCTAGACCCATCTCAGCCACCTGCCAGCAACTCTCCCGGCATGTCTGACCTAAGTGTCATTTTTCTCTTGGGGAAAATTAGTCAGTTGGCAAGAAGAACTCTGAATATATAACTCTCATTTTGAAACTATCAATGTTATTTTCGAGAAATAGAAATTCTTTTCATACTTAGATTCTTTAATCCCATTCAGGTATCTTCCATTCGGTCTCAATACACTAGTGGACACATGGAGTCTGTGGTTTAGTTTTGCTTCTCTGCAAACTTTCCTTTAGGTCAGTGAGATTCATTGGACTTTATGCATGGAAATGATAAACGTGCCTCCCAGAGTTCTGAGAAGCATTTTGCTCATTTCCTTACTGGAGAAGTGCTCACAAAATCGTCTTCCTGGATTTCCCAGAAAGTGGGCCAGTGCCTAGGCTGAGTTGGATTTCTGAGTCTTTGGTTAGTAAGGCATTGCCAGAGCTACTGACTTTATGCCAGAGTGCCCACTTCACCTCTCATGCCTGTTTATTTTGTTAGCACCGATGTACACAAGGAGGTGCCAAGACACCCATATCTGCTTGTATGAAAAGAGAAAACCAAATGTTGGAAACTTTTCACTTTTCCAATTATTTGCCTTCCTTTGCCAATGTTCGTCACTGAGATTTCTGACCAGCGTCTTCAATTGTACGTGAAATTATGTATGTAATCGGATAACCAGGTAGCAAATGGGAATTACAGGTGTGCCAAGGAAGAATAATTATTCTGAAAAACTAACAGTTATACAACACTAGTTTTCCTCAGGTGTTTAAAAGAACAAAAAGAATAATTCTGTTACTCTGAAAGGAATAGATTACAACGTGTTTTTTATCCTCAAATAATTAAATAATTTCTGTCACCCCCTGAGGCAGGTGGTTTTGACTCCCTACTTGTGCATACATTTCCCCCTGCCAACTTGGCCCAGGATGTCCTTGACCTTTATTTAGGTCCTTTATTTAATATTATTTAATGAGCCTCAGTTATGTGCAAAGCATCATATTCCCGGGAGTTTCCCTTTTTCTTAGCTTCTTACTTTTGATTCATTTTCAGATCTGAAAGGATGCATAGTTTTTACAACAGCTATGTAGGGGCCATTGGGAATTTATGTTTGGAAGAAGGACTGTACTATGTCCATGGATGGATGGCGTAGAGGGGAAGAAGAAACCATCTTATTCCGGGAGTGAGCGACCTCCACTGTGTCACAAGCTTTGCCTCCAATGTGTACCAGGCAAACGGTCCATCAGACGTCACTATATTAATACTTTCATACAGTGTGACTAAGGAACTTTTTTTTTTTTTTTTTTTTTGAGACAGAGCCTCTCCCCCTGGGTAGAGTGCCGTGGCATTACAGCTCACAGCAACCTCCAACTCCTGGGCTCAAGCGAGTCTCCTGCCTCCACCTCCCAAGTAGCTG